TATAGTAATTGATCATTTTTTCTCTTATAATCATCGATTCAATTATAAGAAAAATTACAAATCATCTCAATAACACAAATTTTTTTATTACATCAAATAGTTACAAAATTATAAATGAAAAAAAAAAAAACCACTAAAAAACAGCTAAATTTGTAAGCGAGCAAATCTGAAATAAAAGGAACCTACCTAGCCCTACTAGGAAAGTCATTTTGGCCATTTCAAATTCAAATGAAAAGGACAACTGAACGTGATTCATGATGGAAACAAAGGCTGCATTACGACCATATTCATGATGGAAACAAAGGCTGCATTCCGGCCATATTTAACCTTGACTTTATTTCTTGTGTTTTCACTGTAGATGCAGAGGCCGCATTCCGGCCATATTTAACCTTGACTTGATTTCTTGTGTTTTCACTGTAGATGACTCACGTGATATGTAACTCACGTGATATGTAGTTCGATGAAATGAAATAAAATGTTAATGGAATGAGATTAAGGGGTTGTTTGGAGTGTCCTAAATAAGTGTACTTTTTGTTTTTTTAAATTAAAAAGTTGAGGTTGAAAATATGAATGTTTGGGCTAACTTTTTGACTTTTTATGGAAAAATGTGTATTAAAATTTTTTATAAATTAATGTGTCAGAGAAAATTAGTATTGGGAGTTGTGCAGCCGTAATTGTTGACTTTTGGTGAATAGTGATATCTTTTTAACTTTTTGAGTAATTTTTTGACTTTTTTGCTTTTTGGAGACTCCCCAAACTTGGCCTAAAAATGAAATATAAGTTTAAATAGAATGGAATGTTTCATTTTTATTGTATTGTTTGGTTGTCAATATGAAATGACATAAGAATAGGAAGATAATTTTCATTCTCATGTTTGGCTATACCTATTAAACTCATGAAATAAAATAAATTATTGTTATTTATTTATTTTTTTTAACAAACTAGTAACAAACAAATTAAAAATTAATATAGATCATAATAATATTAATAATTGTGAAAGTGATGGTGTGAGTCGTAGTGGTAGTGGTGGCGTCGGTGGTGGTGATAGCAATGATTGTAGGATGATGGTAGTAGATTGTTGTGGCCTTAGTGGTGGTGGCGGCGGCAATTGCGACAGTCAAAGGTAGTGTTCGTGGTAGTGGTGGTGACATAGATAATACGGTGGTGGTAGTATGGTGGTGTAGTAGTTGTGGTGGCAACTGTGGTGAAGGTAGTGTTGGTGGTAGTAGTGGCGACATTGATAGTATGGTGGTGGTAGTATGGTGGTGTGGTGATTGTGGCGGCGACCGTGGTGATAGTTGCAGTGGCAGTGGCGGTGACAATAGGGTGGTAGGAGAACGAAATAGTGATAGTAGTTAAATAATAATATTTCTTTTAAGTACCAACAAAAAAAATAATAATTAAATTTTATGGTAATTCTATGATGGAATAGAATGACCATTCCTTAAGTTGGAGGAAAGAATATGCATTCTCACATTTTGTTAGAATAGTTATTCTAATGAAATGACTATTCCCACTTAAATAAGGAGTACCAAACAAAGAAAAGATAATGCAAAGTTAGAATCAGCATTCTATTCCAGCTCATTCAATCATATCAAATGTGCTCTATATGTTTCTATGTATCATTTTGGCAAAAAAATTAAAATTGATTATGTAAAAAGATTTCAATAGATATTTAGGTAGGTAAAATTTTACAATCGTATTAATATATTTGGGACAAACTTCTCTCCTTGGGGGGGGGGGGGGAAATATGCTCGTAAGTAGTTAGATTTTTTGAGTTACATATGATTTATTGAGCTTAACCTAATGATTTATTTTGATGATTCCTTTGTTCATTTTTAATGTTATGTATATCTATGAAAAAAAAAAAAAAAATTTCTACCTGTACAATTTTATTACATTTGTATTAAAAAATAGAAGCATATATTATTTTTTTAAATAAGGTATATACAATTTAAATAAGGTATATACTATTTACACTCACTTATTTTTTTTTTCATTTTTCCACTCATATATAAAATAGTTAAATGTAAATTTAGGAAATTGTATATTAATTTGTTTTGTCTCCACCCAAACAAATTTAGTCATTAATCAATATATGTTTTTAAATTTTGTTTTTTTGAAAATCTAATAATCAACAATTTAGTTTCATAGTTCTCTTTCCCCGTCTAAAAATCTTTTCCCTTTATATACATAAGTGACATGTGTAATTTGCTGAAATAAAATGAAAAGGTACTAACAATTTTATGAAATATGTTCATTCTATTTAGAAATTAAAAATATTATTTAAATGTTCACAATTAAATAAAATTTGAAAATTATTATATTAAAAAAAATATAGGATTTATGAGTAAATTTTCCTAGAGTTTAAGAAGTTTAAAAAGAACAAATTAATAGTATAAGACATTTCTTTTTGAATTTTATTGGTAAGTTTGTAATCAATTTAAGGATATCTATTATGAAAAGTTTAAGTTTTAAATATTTAAGATTTAATGGCTTAGACAATTGATTTTTTAAAATTTTTGTAGTTTGAAACCTTAAAGTTCTAAAAACACTCTTAGTAAAAAAGTCTATTTACAATACTATATACTATACTATATTGGGTGATGTAATTTTATTTTTAAATTATAGCAAATTTCAATTTTTGAGTTTTGTAATGGTTAAGATAGGTCATATTGCTTGGTAACGTTTTTGTTTTTTAAAAAACTTTTTTATAACTTACATTTAGGAAGACCTTTATTTATTTATTTTTATTTTTTTTTCTTCTTTGATAAACTTAAAAAAAAACAAGTACATATATATATTTATTTTGTGTAACTTAGATGACCCTAAATTTTTATTAAAAAATAGGACAGATTTTTAAAAATTTCCAAACTGAAAAATTAAGTCAAGATGCAAAAGGAACAAAGTCTTTTTCTGGGAGAACGTTCAGGCGGATGTCTTGGAGGTTGTTTGAATATGAATAAAAATATTTTGAAAATTTAAATTTGATAAAAGATGAAAGGCTCCTTTCATTTGATGAAAGCTTTGGTTTTGCCTCTATTTGATATGATTTTGGTAAAAGGGTTGGAGCACCTCTTTTTGCACTTTTCATCAAATTTCAAATTTAATATTGTATCCGATACATTAGAGATGCTCTAACAAATTTGAAAGTAATATATATACATATATATATTAGAACAACATCGATCAAAACAAGAAAAATATATAAGATTAAATAAATTAGGAATTATAAATTAATTCAAAATAAAAAATGATGTAAAAGTCTACATCTAGAAAAATGATTTAAACCACTAAAAAAGGAACACTAAAGGAGTATTAATTTGTCATTTTCCTCTTTGTATTTTGTCTTTTTTTCTTTATTTTGTTTGCTTGTTTGTTTTTTTTTTAAAAGTGTATGCCACCTCAGTAGAGCTGCATTTAGAGTAGCTCCACTAGTGGTCTCAATCACCACTGTTAAGATATATAGTGATGTGCAATATATTATTTTAAGATTTATTTTTAAAATTTTTATTGTCCAACAGCTCAAAACAACCAAAGATTATTTTTGGACAACAATGATTGAGACATCTTTTTTTGAGATCCCACAATCCTTTTTGGATCTCAACTATGTATGGTATGAGCCTTACAAATACATGAATAGACCCCACATATACATCAATAATTAAGATCTAAAAGGAGTTGTGAGGGCCCCAAGAAAAGAGGTCCAAGCATTTTTCATTTTTGGACCACAGATTGATTTTTCCCTTTCAAATGGAAATCCTATAGTACTACCAGGGGCGACGCTTGTAAGGATCTGATGGGATCCCATCCACCGATCAAGTTGTCAAGAAGTGTTGAAAAAAAAAATTTATAGTAAAAAAATTATTCGGTAATTGATTGACCTTATTAAAAAAACCAAAGCGACTCCATTAGGAACTTGACAAATGTAAGAGATTTTAAATTTTATATCTATAAATTCATGATAAAAAAGTTGGGTGTTGGACTTATGTATTTGAATATGTGACAAATCAAAAGTTAGTACTTATAATGCCATATTTAGAGAGCACTTTTAGAATTTCAAACATTTTTTTTATGAACCTGATCTCTCTCTCTATTACATTTCTCTTCTCGATACTCAAAACCAAATGAGATATCAATTGGAGAATAGAATGGTTGAATGATTGCTTAATTATATACATAATAAAAAATGACACTATTGACGATGAGATTATTATGCAACGATTAAAAAAAATAAAAAAACAGTTAGTCGAATGCAATTATATAAATTTATGTATTTTTTCTATTTTGTTAAGACAATAGTAATTTGTTACAAGTATATTCTACTTAAGGTTCAAATGTTAATTAGTATATATTTTCATAAAAAAAAAAATTATAAAATTTGTGGATCTTAAATTTTTTAAGATCCAATCCAAAAAAAACTTCTCAAGTCGTCACTGTATAACACATATCCCTCCACCTCGTTACGCGTCATAGTTGTGTGTTACATATTTTTATGTAAAAGTTACGATAATTTATAATTGAGAAATGAAATTATATATTTTTGTAATAATGTTATGTATTTTGTGGTTAAAAAATATTTAGATGAAATAATGTGTAACATTACCATAAAAATGCGTAATATTAGCACAAAATATATAACTTTATTTCTCAATAACAAATTATCGTGATTCTTACCCAAAAATACATAACATTTATCATAAAATACATAATATTTATTATAAAAATACATAATACATGTGATACACATTTTTTTCAAATGGGTGTGTACATCGAGTGTTTCCATATTTTAAAAAAAGTACTGCCCAGATATTAATGAATGATTTCGCAATAGCCGTGTCGATATCCAAGATAGTATAAGAAGTGGCCATTCGATGGCAAACAGAACTCAGAAAGACAACAAACAAAAATCTTCATTGTGGGCATGTGTTTTTGCTGATTCATTATCTTATTTATCCTTCAAATTGTGGCCATCCATCATGGTCACAAAAAATATTATTATGCTGCCAAAATCAATTCAACTTCTCCATGTGTTTGTGGTTGTGCTTTCACTATTATTATTAGAATACATACCTGTTCTTGGACTCTCCTCAGGAGGAGTTGAAGCTGCTAATAAAATCCGGTGCATAGAGAAGGAGAAACAAGCTCTCCTCAAGTTTAAAGAAGCTGCCATAGATGATTATGAAATTCTCTCTTCTTGGGGGAATGAAGAAGCTAAGAAAGACTGTTGCAGATGGAGAGGAGTCCATTGCAACAACCACAGTGGTCATGTAACCATGCTCGATCTTCATGTACCGATGTATGGTCCTTATGACCATTTGAGCGGTAAGATTTCTCCTTCATTGCTTGAATTGCAGCATTTGAAGTATTTAGATCTTAGTGGAAATGCGTTTGAAGGGCGCTTCCCAGAGTTCATTGCTTCCTTGAGCAGATTACAAGTCCTCAACCTCAATGCCAATTACTTTGGTGGTCCGATTCCTCATCAGCTTGGGAACCTTTCCAACTTAAGTTATCTTGATCTTGGTTGGAATATGAATATAACTGATGGAAATCTTGAGTGGCTTTCTCAACTTTCTTTACTAAGACACCTTGCTCTTGATGGGATGGACCTTAGTAAAGCAATCAATTGGGTTGAATCTATTAATAATCTTCCTCTTTTAAAAAACTTGCTCTTAAGTCAGTCCCATCTTCCAGATGTCATTCCTCCTACGCATGCTTTCAATTCTTCTCCATCTCTTGTTGTGCTTGATCTCGGTTACAATCTCCTATCTTATTTTTCAATATGCAATTGGTTGGTCAACTTTAGTAGCAGCCTTGTCGATCTTGATCTTTATGGTAACCTGTTAAAAGGTCCGATTCCTGATGCTTTTGGGAACATGATATCCCTTGTACATCTCAATCTCTCTTTTAATCAGCTAGAAGTTGGCATTCCAAATTCGTTCGCCAATCTAAGTCGTTTACAATCGTTAGAAATGGGTGCCAGCAATTTAAAAGAAGAACTTTCTGAGATTCTTCACAAGTTATCTCGATCTGAGAACTCATTACAGACTTTGAATTTTGAGTGGAATCAACTTGGTGGTACATTGCCTGATTTCACAAGATTTTCAACCTTGAGGGAGTTGAATCTCCATCAAAACCAATTGAATGGCCCATTCCCAGAAAGTTTTGGACAACTTCGTAGTCTTGTTCGCCTAGATTTGTCTGGAAACCAAATTACATCTTTTTCGAATTCTTTCCAAGGCATAATCTCTGAAGCCCACTTCTCAAACCTCTACAGTTTACAATATTTGGACTTGTCTTTTAACCAACTAGTTTTGAACTTTAGCTCTGATTGGGATCCTCCTTTTCAACTTCGTGAAATAAGGTTGGCATTTTGCAAGTTGGGGCCTAGTTTCCCAAAATGGCTTCGAAAGCAAAATCAATTTTATGAGCTTGATATCTCTGGAGCTGGAATTTCAGATACTGTCCCTAGTTGGTTTTGGGATCTATCACCCAAGTTAAATGGTTTAAATCTTTCTTGCAATGAAATAAATGGCTTGTTACCAGATTTATCTTCGAAGTTTACTGATTTTATCGGCATAGATTTAAGTTCTAATCGCTTTACAGGTCAAATACCACCACTTCCATCCAATTTAACATTTTTGAATCTCTCCAAAAACGTGTTTTCGGGGTCAATTTCTTTCTTATGTGCAATTTCTAGCACTGAAGTTTTCTCCTATCTTGACCTCTCAAGGAACTTACTATCAGGAGGACTTCCAAATTGTTGGGAACATTTGAAAGCACTTACAGTTATCAATCTGGCCAACAATAATTTTTCTGGGGCACTTCCTAGCTCAATAGGTTCCCTAAATGCCATTGAAGCATTGCAGTTGCGCAACAATAGTTTCTCTGGGAGATTGCCAAAGTCTTTGAATAAATGCATACAGTTGAAAATTATTGACTTGGAGCAAAATAGATTCACAGGAAAAATACAAGCATGGATAGGGATGCATCTCACAAGGTTAGTCATTCTTAGTCTACGATCCAACAAATTCTATGGAAGCATACCTCAAGATATCTGCTACCTTAACTGTATTCAAGTTTTGGACCTCTCTCAAAATCATTTATCAGGAAAACTACCACAATGTTTCAGCAATTTTTCTGCTTTGGTTCAAAGTAATAGTTCAGAAGGAACCATTGCTTTCCCCTACACTACATATGAAGATGGTATGTTTTTTGCAAATTTATATGAATATGAAAGCAATGCATTGGTTCAATGGAAAGGGCAAGAGAGGGAGTACGGAAGAAAACTGGGACTACTTAAAATGATTGATCTTTCTAGCAACAAATTGACTGGAAAACTTCCTCAGCAAGTTGCGAGTCTTGCAGGGTTGGTTTCCTTGAACCTGTCAAGAAACAATTTGGCTGGAAGAATCATCCAAGATATTGGTCAGATGAAGATGTTGGAAGTTCTTGACCTATCTGCAAATAGACTTTCTGGTGAGATTCCTACAAGCCTTGCTTATCTAAATTTTCTTAGTGTATTGAACTTGTCAAATAACAACTTGTTGGGAAAAATTCCGTCGAGCACTCAATTGCAAAGCTTTGATGTCTCTGCATATTCTGAGAATCTTAAACTCTGTGGGCGTCCCCTACCTAATAAGTGTCCAGGAGAGGAAACGGTTGTGGAACCTCCAATTTCTACTCAAGAAGATGAGGACAGGTTTATTACCTCAGGATTTTATGTTAGCATGGGGATTGGTTTCACCGTTGGATTTTGGGGAGTTTTTGGCTCTATGCTTTGTAACAGTCCATTGAGATATACCTACTTCAAATTCTTGGACCGCATACAAAATTGGTTGTATCTGACTGCAGTATCGAATATGACTAGACTACAAAGGAATCTTTAAGGAAAATCGGTATGTCTCACTTCAATTTTGTTACTTCTTGTATTCTTCTATGTGGGCATTGTTTGTAGGCCACCCTTGTTTACATGTTAAAATCTTCTTTTTAAATTGTAACCAAGATTTTTTAACTGCAAAATGCAAACCTTGCATAAGTTCTTGGGTTTCTTTTAGTTCTATGTTCTAAAAAACCCAACATGTTTTCAAATTTAATTTTCTGGTAAAAGCCCTTCTTTTTTTTTTTCTTCTATTTTTGTTCATAAGTTCTCCACTTCTATTTTACAAAATCAACTAATCGTGTAACAATGTGCTCAATGAAATGGTCGTTTATGCTTCTTTCTTTCTTTCTTTCTTTTTTCTTTTCAAGCCTAATAACTGAACTTAAGGTGCTCTTTTACACAATGATTTTGCAGTTCTTCTATGAGCACAAAATTCAATTACAACCCCTTCATATGGGATGATGAGAGACACATTTTTGATGGATTCCATCTCGTGGTTGTATCTAATTTTATGATCGGATTCTAAGCATTTAGATTTTTCCGTTATTCTAAATAACTCCTATTTATAACTATTAATGGCTGCCCAATATTTATTTTGCTTTAAGTGATAGTTGATATTGTTTAACCTTTTTTTTATTTTTTTGGTTGCCATATTTTCAAGGGAAGCTGCTACACCTAAGACATGAGCTTGTGATGGTGAGTTCGTGGTATACGAAGTGGAGTTGCTGGTACCATCTTTGCTTAGGCCTTCTATTTATTTCTCGAAGGATATAGCTACTTAAATAAATAATTCAAGTGTGTAATTTAATTATTTTGGATTAAGTGTGTGTTTTGAAGGGCTCCAATGCTTTGTTTTGGACTATCAGTGTTGTCAATAGTTATGGCATTCCCATGCATGGGATAATATACATCACAGTATGACTATCTCATGCTTGTCTTCTTATGAAGTCTAATTATTGTTATGGATTAATAGTAAACATGATTACACCATGTGAATGGCTTAAGAATTACTATTGAAAATTAACAATACATTTTTGCCATGTCAAAGAATAATGCAATCTACATGATTGAGAAAGAATAATGCACCCTTTTCTTCTTTGTCTTGTGGAGAGCTTATGATTGAGAAAGAATGATGCTATTTTGGATCACAAAGATGTGTCGTGGAATGAATTACTTGATTTGTTCAAAGTCAAAGCTGCTTTTTAGGTTAAATCAAGTACTGATCGGGTGAGCTTCAGCATTGATGATTTTCTGTTTAATATGGAAGGAGTAATTAGTTTGAAAATGAAAATGAGAAAAACTAAAAAGGAATTTGAAGAAAACTTTCATTTTTTTTTAGAAAACTTTCATTTTTTTATTCTAGGCAACAGAGCATGATGACTTTTATTTTTTTTTTTTGAAACAGCGAAAAGAGACCTTTATTGATAATCAAACCATACAAGATGAGATTACATCAAAAAAGGAGAGGAAGGGGTTTGGAGAGGAACCAAACCCAAACGGAACAAGCAGAACAAGGACCTGCACACTAGGGGTGAAATCGGTGCGGTGCGGTCCGGTTTTGAGGTATTTTTGCGCCGAACCGCACCCTTCGGTTTTCCATTGATCTGCATCGAACAGACCGAATTACTGGTAAGAACCGCACCAAGCGGTTTTACGTTGGGGCGGTGCGGTTTGGTCGGTACACGTCGGTTCTTCGATCTTCAACAAAATCTTTTCTTGAAGGTGAAAGACCATTGGTGAACACATGAAGAAGATGAAGATAGAAGATGGAAGATGGAAGAAGATGAGAGGGTTTTGACACAGAGAGAGAGAGAGATCCAACCTTCACATGAAGAAGATGAAGATGGAAGATGAAAGACCCACAAAATATTTCGTAGAACGAAGATGAAGCATATAAGCCTTCATCTCAGAACTCTCTACAACACACAAACATATAGAGAGAAAGAGAGGAGAGATAGAGCATTTGTTTTGTAGAGAGTTGCAATTACTCTCAGAAACATCCAACCCAAGACCATGATATTCATTGTCGAGCAGTGTAATAATTAGATAGAGAGAGAGAGTTTTTTTATGTTTTTATTTTGAGCAATGTGAAACATTGGGCAGTGTGAAAGCTATTTGAATATTGGAGTTGAATACGCAGATGACCTGCACGAAAATAATAATAAAAAATAGCTGGACAATACATAATAGTAATAAAAAAAGAGGGAGTATATATCGGTGCGGTTCGGTGTGTATGGTTTTCAAATTATATTTACCGAAAACCGAACCGAATTTCGGTTTTTTTGTTTTAACATAACCGAACAGACCGAAACAAGAAAAAAAACAGACCAAAACCGGTCGGTTCAGTTCGGTCAGGTCGGTCCAATCGGTTTACCGGTTTTTCCTTTTACCCCTACTGCACACAGCTCCTCACACACCATCAGAACACTTCCAGGGGCAGCAGCAAGAGATTCAGCAGGCCATAACAGATGCAGATGCATACCCACATCTTGAAACCAAGAGCAGAACACAGGCAGATGCAGACCAACCCCATCCTGACATTGTATTGAGAAGAACCTGAAGCTCAAGACAGCAGCACAGAACAAGGTTGCCTGAAATTTACATTCATATGCCTCAAGGTTGCCTGAAATTTACTCCTAAAGCAGTAGGTGATATACCTCAATTTGTTCAGAAAACACAAGCAGAGCCCAATAAAGACACAGAGCAGGACAAACCCAGAATAGCAGAACAAACCCAGAACAGAACAAACCCAGAATAGCAGAACCGCCCTGCATAATACAGATGTACAACCCCAACTCCATCCCAGAACAGCAGCCCAAAACAGAACTGCTCAAAACAGAAAAGCATTAATATCAACAGCCCAAAACATATCTGCACCCCAAACTCAATCTGATTTGCCTCAGATTGTTTAAAAAGTCTTGTACAGAGAAATGAAAGTCCTTGAATCTTAGTTTGAGCCACAGAGCAATTCTGATTTTAATCAACTCGCACAGTTCCACTAATTGAGGCGAAGCAGATTCGAAAATGCACTCATTCCTAAGCTTCCACAGAGACCATAGGACAGCCAAGGGAATGCCCTTCCATATCCATTTTTCTTTCCTGTTCAAATTCACACAATCCCACCAATGAAGAATACCTTCGACTGAACCTGGAAGAGCCCCCTGTAATTCCTACCAATCCATCATAGCAGCCCAAACCTTCCATGCAAAATAGCAATGCAGCAGGACATGAATGGATGATTTAGGCTCAGCTTTACAGAAAACACACAGAACAGGAGCATTAGCTTGAATCACTCCAATTTTCTGTAAAAATTCAGCTGACTTAACTCTGTTTTTCCATGCCAGCCAACAGAAAAACTGAACCTTAGGAGGGGCAAAAGAGTTCCAAACAAACTTACACTAAATGAAAGAGGGGCAAAGGGAGTCAATTTCATTTTTATAAACAGAGGAGACAGAGAATAGGCCAGATCCTTCAGCCAACCAGATTGTTTTGTCCTCCAGAACAGAACATGGAACAGGTGTAGAAACCAGGAGCAAGTTGAGCCTACTAACTTCCCTCTCTTCCCACTCATACAACCTTCTTCTGAATTGAAAGTTCCAAGCTCCTGAATGTACCCTCCTGTCATACATTGATCTCAAGGTTTCCCCCTTCTCCAAAACCAATCTGAAAAGAATTCACATCTAAGCAAGTGAT